TAATCGATATTTTTAATGTAATATAAAAAGCGATAATATTTTAGTTTCAAATTTTTCCTCTAGACATTCATACTCTAAGAGTAGTTTCCTTTAAATCAAACATTCTAGATCGTTTTGTCTGGTGTTAATTGAGGCCTGCTGCCAACCCCTAGTCTAAAATGCCCTACAAAAAGGGATATAAAAAAAATGGAGAATAAAATGGAGTGAGTCACGATGTGTCACCAATCATTTGTCATATCAAAACTGCCGCATATGTGTTATGTAGGCGGTCTCTCTCGGTGTGTGGGTGGGTGAGTGGGTGTTGTGGTGTGGTGTGGTGTGGTGTGGTGTGTGTTGAAAGGAAGACATGATAAAATGGCCGCTTAGGCACTGTCAGCGCGGTACAAATGCAAATACAAACTCGCACACACGAACCCAGGACTGACTGACAAATGAGACAGTGACGAGCAACAATGTTGTCATGTAAATGTCTTCATTTTTTGCGCTTTTCCTCCTTTCCTCTTTTCGCCTCTACCAGTTTTCCCCTTTTTTTTTCCTCTCTCTATCGCTTTCTCTGTGTGTTTGTCGGTTTATTTTCAGGCCTATCAATCATATGCAAATAATAGCGATTTAAGCCAAAAGCTTCTCCTTCTAATTGCCATCGATTAGTTTTCACAAGCGACTTGCTAATTGTCCTGTCATTTTGCATTTTTGATTTTGAGTTTTGCATTTTGATTTACATTCAATTTAATTTACAATCTTACAATTATGTGTAGTTCTTAATTGAAATGCTGGGCTTTTTCATAAATATTGAATGGGTTTCATTGTTTGTTTTCTGTGTGGGATATATGGAGGATGATATAGGCTTGAGTTTTTGATATATAAACAAGAAAAGTTAGCTTTTTGTAAAGCGGAATTTTGTATACCCTTGATGTTTATAAATCATTTATAAGTTTGTTAAAAATGGTTTCATTTAAATTTGGAAAGCACTTTTATGTTCATTTTTATTATTTTAATAAATTAAAATTTTTAATTTATATAATATAATATGAATTAATTCTAAAAGAATTTGGAATTGTTTTTTTCATTCCCAAATGGTTAGAAAAACTCACCTGTTGATTCTAAATAATATTATATATTTCAATTTTTTTATTATTTATTTTTTATATTTTAAAATTTTCAAAAATTTGCAAACATTTTAAAATTTTTAATTTTAAATTAAATGCAGATTTAAATTATATGCAGATTTTTCAAACTAATAAATACTAAAATAGAACATCTTTCCATAGTGAAATTCAGGCATTTTTTGGTTTAGTTAAGTTAAGTTTCTAATTTAAACTTAATGTTAAATATATATATTTTTATATATAAAAAAGGGTATAAAATCTTTAGTTTGCTTTCTTGTTATATATATTTTTAATACGTAATTTTTTTTTAATACGTTTTACATATTTTCTCAGCTCATTAAATCAACTTGAGCTTAATTATTATTTGCCATTATTGACTTTGATTTGTTTTCGTTGCGATTTGATTGATTTATCGCCTGGCGCTTACCCTTAGCCGATAAGACCTACCTCTCCCCTCTCCTCTCTCTTCTCTCTTCGCGATGTCTTAAGTTTTGTATTTTGCTTTGATTTTGCTTCGATTTGATTGCATTTGGCGATAAGCCGATTGACAATTGACAACAACGTGATTAACAACACCTTTTTACAAGCTTTTATATATATATTTTTTTTATATTATTTGTTTTAGTTTATTTTTTGTATATTTTTTGTTTTAATATTATTTTATTTCCTAGTGGTATCTAAGGGTCCCCCCTTTTGATCGTCGGCGGTGGCTACTGTGGGTTTTGATGGAGTGCCCAACATCGTTGGGACATTTATTGATGACACTACTTAGATAGCAACTTGTCGGCATTTGTTGTTTGGCAATTGCGTAATTTTCGCAGTCGTCGTTTGATTGCCGTTGATTAATTGCCGTCGCCGTTGCCTGATATCAGTGGAATCAGATCGCTGGAGAGTGATGGAAGGGAGGTGCCTCCTGTAATTTCGAGTTTAAATTCCAGATCTCGCTAATTGCCAACGCACCAGCGGGCACATCATCATCGTCGTCGTCGGTCGGTTGGGGCATTCATCTTGCCACAATTTCCACACAGCTTCCATGGGTTTTCCTCTCACACACACACACCACACACAGTTTCCGCCATTTGCCAGCACTTTCCCCCCTCTCTTTCTCTTTCACTTCCGTTACCCGCTTTCTTTCTTCTCCGCTTTATTGACATTGCCAGCGTGCAAATATTTGGGATGAGCGCTAAAGGTGTCGACCACAAAACACTTGGGGGAAACCCAGCGGATGGGCGGGGGGGTTGGCTCCGAAAAATAGGGAATCGTTATGAATTTAATAATACCGTGTAAATTATTTACTGAATATTTTAATAAATTCAAACAATTTTAAACAAATACATAGGGAATTTAAGAGTTCATATCAAGTTCATAAATTTATAATCAAGTTTCACATCTTTCAACAATTTTTAGCTAAATTGGTTCTATTATTATATTTTTTATTATTATGTATATTTTAATTACTATGTATATTTTTATTACTATGTATTTTTTTTTATTATTATGTATTTGTTTTTATTATTTTACTATAATTATTTGTACTTATTATAATATTTTATTTATTCTTTTGTTATATTTAATATTATGTGTTATTATTATAATATTTTTTTTTTTTTAAATTTTTTTATTTATTTTTTTTAATTTTTTTTTATTATTTTTTTAATTTTTTATATTTTTTTTAATTTTTATTTTTTTTTTTTAATTTTTTATTTTTTTTTTCTATTATTTATTATTAAAATTTGTTATAATTATTATATAAAATATTTTTTGTTGTATATTTTATTTAATTTTTATTTATTTTGTATTACTTTGCTGCTAAATTCATACTTGGGAATTATATAGCTAAGTTTGTTAGTGTTTACTTAATTTAAAACATTTTTTTTTACTTATTAATTGCTTCTATTTATTATTATTTATTTTTTTTATTATACATTTCCCATGCATATACCTCGCTTTTATTAGTCAAATTTCAGAGGAAAAGAAACCAAAATGCGGGGCAAGTGAATGTGTTAAGTATTTGCCAAATACACACACACACACACACATATACAGCACACACTTGTCCGTATGTGTATGCGTCTTGTGTGTGTGTGTGTGTGTGTACGTAAGCAAGGGAATCCAGTCAATGAAGCTTAGAGGGGAGCAACGCTTTTTACGGTTTCATAATCCAAAAAGGAAACGCTTGAAGTTGTAACTAGACCGCGATATTTCACGACATAGTTGATACCTTTTTCTGTTTTCCTTTTTCCTTTATTTTTGAGGTGGAGAAAGAAGGTGAGAAGGTTTTCCCGCGAGGGTGAAAATTTCCGTTTGCCGCTTTTGCGGGGGAGACCCCAAAATGCCATTTGACATTTTTGTCAAATGCGTTTCGCGTTTCGTTTCGTTTCGTTCTTTCCTTTTGGCCTTCTGTGATTTGCCTTTTTGTCACATTAAATCTTGTTTATGAAGCTTACGAACTTTATTTCCACTCGATTAAATGGCCATAATGGTGGATTTTCTCTTTGTTTTATTTTATTTGGTGGGGCTTTTTGGATGCTTGCTGGAAAATTAGCTGTAATAATTGGTAATTAAAAGGTGGAACTTAATTTGTTTAGTTACATTTTTTTGCTAAATGACTTTAGTTTTTAGTTGTTATTTTTGCTTTTAGTTTTTGTTTACTATATCTGCTTTCAATTTTTGCTTAAACTTTTTGCCCCCAAAGGAGTCTAGGGGAATCTAGGCAGACATTTTGGCATCATAATAATTGGCTGAAGTGCAAATGTATTGGCATGTTTTAATTAAACGAAATTGCTTGTATCGCATTGATGGCTTAATACGGGTCACATGTATGCCTATCGGTGTCCTGCCTGCCAACAAAGTGGCATTGTGTGTGATCCAGAGAGATGAGAGAGCTGTGTCTGGAATATTCACTTAAGTGGACAAGAGGACATGATGAAAGCCAGGAGCAGGCAGGAGCAGGCAGGAGCAAGTAGGAGCAAGCAGGAGCAGGCACAAGCAAGTAGCAGCAAGCAGGAGCAGGCACAAGCAAGTAGCAGCAAGTAGGAGCAGGCAGGATCTGGCCAATTAATTTGCTGACAATGGGAGACAAAAAGCTGAAGCATCAGATGCAAAAGCAAAAGTAGCACAAGCAAAAGCAGAAACCAAGAACAGAAAGCACAATCAAACCAATAGCGGTCACGACAATATAACGAATTGCCAAAATCAACAACAACAGCAAAACCCTTCGACCAAAACTAGACTTCAGACACTCAACTAAATTAGTCAATCATAATCAATAAACATATAAACATGCACAAGATAATATACACATATAAATGCATTTATTCAACTTAACAAATAATAGAATTATGCTGAAAATTTATGCATGAAAGCATATTATCAAATTCGATTATTAGTAAATTAGAAGTGGCATTTAATAAAGTTAAATGGGTTTCTAAATATGTGAGTATGGGTGAGTTTTGTTTTAATATTTTGTTATTTTAAATCTTTAATTAAATATAGAGATTTTGCTAGAAAACCAGAGAAAAAGAGAGAGAGAGAGAGAGAGAGATTTATATTCAGGTGTGATTTATGCATCTATTTCCTATAATTATTTAATATTATTAACAATGAAAGGTGTAGGCAATAATTATTGAAAAGTTTTAAAATTAAATTACAAATTTAACTGGTTTTTATTTGGACTTTTTTAAAAATTGAAACAGAAAAATAAATAAATAATTTAAAATTATTAGCCTCATATATTATTCAAATTGTTTTTTGTTAATGTTTAGCTAAACTCTAATAAACTATTAAGATTTAATTAAGATTTCCATACACGTAATTAATAATTTTATTAATTATTTCCTTAAAAAACGTACTATTATACCTAATTATTACTCATTTTCCCTATTTTTATTACAGAAAATTCCTGTAAAAATGCTGTCTTACTTTGCCAAGGATTCAGGTGAGTTCTTCTTAGTTTTTAGAAGCTACAATATCAACACAAACAATGGCCCTGGCCCATTTATAAATTATGCATTTACAACAAATAAATGTACATATATATATACATCCCAACGATTTCCCAGGCAGCCTCCCGATTTTCCGGCGGAGAGGAGAGGAGCCTGCGATGATAAGATAAACTTCTACACTCGCCCGGGCGTTGCTTTTGTTGTGCGTGTGTATTGTACTTGGGGCATTGTTGTAATGCCATAACAATCAAGTGAAATTACGCTAAATGACACGCTCATTACGGGTGGTTACCGGGGAGTGAGGGTGGGGTGTTGAGGGTTTTGGGTACTGCCAAGTGCTGGTTACTAGCTGGCCCGGCCAGCGATGACACACAAAAGTATCGAAATTTTTACTAAAACTTGGGAGTTTATTAATTATACTTGAAACATAAATTCGATAAATTTATATCGATATTTAGAAGTTGAAAATAATTTTTTAACAATTGCATAATGTTTTATTATGTGAATATATCGATAAGTTGTGCCTTTTTCTTTTTTTTTTTTTATTTTCCAACCCGTTAAGTTTTGCCTAATTAATATAGATTCGATATTTTATCGATAACTTGACTGGGAAAACGATTGCATATTGTATTTTTATCTTACGAATGTAATAATTATTTTTCGATCTTATATCGATATTTTGATAATGAAGAAGATTTTAATTCGATATTTTCGATAAACATATCTTTATCACCACACATCACTAGGAGGCTTGTGTGGGTTCTCTTCCTTTTTTTTTATATTATTTTTTGATTTTTTTTTAACAACAAAGCAAAAATCATTGCCTACTTATGAGCGCCGCCGATGAAAGGAAAGACATGAGAGAAAGAGGGAGTTATAGAGAGGACAAAAAGGAGAGAGAGAAAGGGATATGGCGAGCATGGGAGAGGTGAGCCCATTTATTATTTAAATGAAAACATACAAATAAGCGCTTGAAAAACACTTTTATAACACAGCATACGAGAAGCAGCCACATTATTTGCATATAAAAATGCTTATTAGGTTTTGTCAAATGAACAATAAATGTCTTTTAGCTCTTTTACTTTTTTATTCTCCTTTATATATATATATTTTTTTTTAATATTTTTTTTTTTTATTTTGTATATATTTAGCCTCCTTATTGTTTGTCTGCGAATCAAAGTTGGCCAAGAGAGACAAGAGGCAACAGGGAGTAGAGTCTGTGACAACGCTTTAAACGGTTTTATTGGCTTTTCCAAATTGGCCAAAGGCCAAGAATATTGTACACAAAATAATAATAATAATAATAATAATAAAAAAAAAACGAAAAAAGAGTGTAGAGAGAGAGAGGGGGGAAATAAGAAGAAAAACAGGAGCAGCGCGCAAAATTTATATTACGCAAAATATGCCAAGACGGACAAACTTTGCTTTGACCAGAAGCTTTTGAAGTTTTTCTCACCAAACTCGCCCTAGTCTCTGGTCCTACCTCTCCTTCTACCTCCAACCATTTCATTTCCCGATTTTCCTCCGATTTTCCCCCAGCTACCTTCAATTGGGGGTTGGGGGGATGGCTCCTGTTGCTGGCAAGTGAAAGTGGAAGTGAAAGTAAAGTGTAATTAGGTTTGTTTTGCGTGGCTGTCTGCAAATGAAATGCCTGATGGAGAGAGCAGCGTAGATTATTGTTATTTATATTAGTATTATTATTATTATAATAATTATTCTTATAATTATTCTACTTACGTTTATAACTTTTATGCTTGCAAATTTAAATTGAACTTGGCCTAAATAACTCAAGTTTATGAAACAAATGCCAAACACCATTAGGGCTTGAGAATTTCATGTATTTCCTTAAGGGTTTGAGACTAATAAACATCAAAAAAGTGTTTATTTTGAATATAAATTAGGTTATTTGAAGGTTCATTTAATTATTCACTTGTTAAAGGTGATTATTTAAATAATATAGTTTTTTTATATGAAAGAAATTCAGAAAATAAAAAAATATAATATATACTCAACATATATTAAGTATACATTGAGTATATATTGAGTATATATTGTGTATATATTGTGTATATATTGATTATATATTGAGTATATATTGAATATATATTGAGTATATATTAAGTATAAATTGAGTATAAATTGAGAATATATTGAGTATATATTGAGTATAAATTGAGTATAAATTGAGAATATATTGAGTATATATTAAGTATAAATTTGAGTATAAATTGAGTATATATTGAGTAAAAATTGAGTTTAAATTTAGTATAAATTCAGTAAATAATGAGTATAAATTGAGAATAAATTGAGTAAAAATTGAGTATAAATTGAGTAAAAATTGGGTAAATATTGAGTATAAATTGGATATAAATTGGATATAAATTGAGTAAATATTCACTATAAATTTGAATATAAATTGAATATATAGTTGAAGTATTTATTGAGAATATATTGATTATATAATGTTTATATAATGAGTATATATTAAGCATAAATTAAATAATCCTTTTTTTTTCTAACCTGTTAAGTGCGATTAGTTTCTCCTTTAACTTTCCCTGAATTTTCCGCCTCCACTTTCTACGTTTTTTTCTAGTTAGTAGCTCCTTTGAATACCTCCCTAGACTCAACTTGTTTTGCTATTTTTTCCACGGGCGCTTTTCATTTGCCCTTTTCTTGTTTTTTTTTGTTCATCCCATTTCGATGCAGCAGGTATCTCCTCCATTCAGAGTTCTTTTCCAGAAACTACTTAACAGAGTGTATTCTTCAATAGTTTTTCTTTGAAATTGGTATTTAAAACGTCAAGGCTTCTAAGAAATATTGCTAGTGTTTTTATTTTCCAAGTATAAGCTATTAGTTTGAATAGATAATTCGTTATGAATAAATATATTTTTTATATAAAAAACTTTAGGAAAAGGGTTTATAACTAAATTCTTTAAGTGGAATAAATTGGTATGGGGTCTACTGTTGCCTGGGCTGTACAATATACAATATATCCCCCTGCAAAGGCTTTAACAAATATTGAAATCCAACGTTTGTTGTCTGATGGCCAAGTGTCGGCAACTGTTATCGCCCCATAAATATAAATAAATATATATATATAAATATGAATACAAGTGAGCCCAAAGTGCTTATCGATACCATCCAAAAAGGGTATTAAAATCCCCCCAAGCACAAGTTCCAAGACAATGACGCCTGTCTACGCGGAATATCAAGAGGGGGGGGGAAAAGCCATACCCAACCCCTCTTCAAGGCAAAGTCAGTCAGTCAGTAAATATTGAGTGAGCATATAATCTGTTAATAAGCATTTTATATGCCAAAATAATTTGATTTGCATGTTGGGATGTCGATTTCTGTCGTTCCTATTCTTTGTCACGTGGCAGTAGGGGTGGGGTTTTTGTGGAAAATGGAGGATTGAGGGTGGCAAGTGCCTTTTTTGGGGGGGGTGGAGGAGTGAGACACTCGGGTGTCATGCTCGAGTTCATGTAATTAACACGGATACCAAATTTACGGTCGGGATGATCACAAATTTTCTTATGGTGACGCCGCTGCCTTATTACCGTATAACACTTACTTTCATGGTGTTACATGGTTAACGTCTATTATAGAGTGTTACGTACAAAGTTAAACTGTGTTTAAGTGATAAACAAACAAAAAAATGGTGAAAGTAGTAACAGAAAGGTTAGGAAAATTCTTGATTTTATGGTTAACTTGGTTTTTATAGTCTTGGTCAGTAATTTATTGTGTATTTAGTAATATCTAAATTTTAAAAATTTCTTTTCGCTTAAAAATGTGTCTAAAATGATGCTTTAAAATATGAAAGCATTTGCATTAAGTGCTTACAATTTTTGTGGCAATCTTTTGGACTGCCTTTTAAGAGATTTTATATTCAAAGCCAAATCTGTGTTATTTTTAAATACATTTTTAAATAATAATTAAAAATAAATATTATATAAAATAATTATTAAATAATAAATTAATAAATAAATTATTAATTATATTAAAAATTTAATATATTTGCATAATTATTTAATTTCTAACTATTAAAAATAATTATTTACTATTTTTAATAATTATTAATTATATAAAATATTTATTTATTACTAATATTAAGTTTTATACACAATAATTATTTAAGAACCACCTTAATTCTATGCGAAAATTATCATCATGATATCACTTAATGCTTATAATATACAAAAAGGTCTAAAAGTATGCTAAACATTTTTTATGGCATACTTTTGTGCCGAATCTTAAGTGATTTTATATCCTTATGTATATTTTTAGTTTCTTTTCTCAATTAAAATCCAACTTGGCTTGAGCTTTCAAATGTTGCCAGGCAATCGAAAGATTGTTGAAAATTCCCCCAAATATGATTGCTTTATTAACCAGCAAAGTGGAATTGATTAAATGGGCACTCACAAAACAACCTGTCTCATATGTTAGGCTCAGCAATTTTCAATGGAGAGCTACTTTTATTTGAAAGTTAAGCCGAAGCTACAAATACTGAACTGACAAAACTGAATTGACCGTCCGAGGGTCCACAAAGACCGTTGGGATTGTCATCTGCATGCCAAAAAAAAATAAAATAAAAACTGACCCAACTGGCTTACTAACTGACTGAATGAATGACTGACTGACTGGCGAACTGACTGACTGAATAACTGACGAACTGACGAACTGACGAACTGACGAACTGACTGACTCGCTGGATGACTAACTCACCAACTGAGTGAGTACTTAAAGCAATGGCAAACATTAGCATAAAGCTGGGGCTATCATTTCTAAGTGCGTTGCTTGTCGTTGTTGTTGTTGTTGTTGTTGCCATGTCTAGTGTTTCTCCTTCAGCGCTTTTCCCTTTCTCAATTTTCCATTTTCTTGGCCCGCTGTGTGCGCTGTGGGAAATAAGGTAAATATCAGCTGGCACACGAGGACAGCTCCCAGCTCCCAGCACCCAGTACCCAGCAAGCAGCAGCAAAACCAGCTCCAAAGCCGA